CCCCCCCCCCCTCTGCCATACAGAACCATGTCCAGCGCCATCACCAACGCCGCCAAGGAGGCCACCGCCCGCATGGGCAGCCGCAAGTTCGACCTCGTCCTGTGGGGCGCCACCGGCTACACCGGCAAGCTGGTGGCCCAGTACCTGGCGTCGCGCTATGAGAACCACCCGGCGCACGAGGAGGGCCTCCCCTCCGGTGGCGATGGGCTGACCGAGCGCAACCTGTGCATCGCCCTGGCCGGGCGCAACCGCCAGCGCCTGGAGGAGCTGCGCTCCAGCCTGGCCCTGATGCGCCCCTCCTGGGCCAACGCCCCGGTCCTCGTGCATGACCTGACCAACCAGGCCTGCATCGACTCCATGGTGGAGAAGACCCGCGTGATGGTGGCCCTGGTCGGGCCCTTCTCCCAGTACGGCACGCCGGTGGTGGACGCCTGCGTGCGTCTCGGCACGCACTACGTCGACATCACCGGCGAGGTCCCCTGGACCAAGAGCATCATCGACAAGTACCACACCCGCGCCGAGACCGCCGGCATCAAGCTTGTCCCCCACTGCGGCTTCGACAGTGTCCCCAGTGACATCGGCACCCTGATGGCCGAGCGCGCCTTCGCCCTCAAGTACACCGGCCAGTCGCCGAAGATCGTCAAGGGCAGCTTCCTCGAGGCGACGTGCGTGCACCCTTCCGCGGCTGCTTTTTTCGGCCGCCTGGCCCTGCTTTTCCTCCTCTCCCCCGCCCCTCGCCCCTGGCCCGGCTGACCGCGTGTATGTACATCCCCCTCGCCCGTGCCTGCGCCTTTGCCGTGGCCCGGCGCGCATGTGCCGGTGTGCTGGCCCATTTGGTCCCCTCCGGCCCCGCCCGCCGCGCACACACCTGAGCACAGTGGCGGTCTCAGCGGCGGTACCATCGCCACCATGGTCTCCCACATCGAGAAGCTGAACACCCGGCCGAACCTGCTCAACCCGGCCGGTGTCAACCAGACCCTTGACCACAAGGACCAGGTGCGCACATGCTCCCTCCGCTCGTGCCTCCTTCCTCCCCCCCCCCTCCCTCTCGCCGTGTCTTGCCCTGCCCCTTCATCCTCCACCTGTCGGTGCCGGCCTGTTTCTGACCCTTTTGTCGCCCTCTCCATCGGCCCGGCGCGCCGCTGGTCCCTGCACAGAACATGCTTGCCTACGACGCGGACTTCAAGCGCTGGACCCTGCCCTTCCTGATGGCCTCCATCAACACCCGCCTGGTCCGGCGGTCGATCGCCCTGCGCGGCCAGCAGTATCGCTATGACGAGAATGCCTCGCACAAGGGCCTCCCCCGGGCGGCGCTGCAGTTTGCCTTCCAGTTCTTCTTCTTCCTGATGTTCCAGTTCGCCATGACTCGCAACTTCCTGCTGCGCATCCTCCCCTCGCCGGGCGAGGGCCCCTCCGAGAAGGAGGTCCGCACCGGCCACTTCAACGCGCAGTTCATCGCCAAGAAGATGGGCACCGGCCAGAGCGTGCGTGTCGTCTCCCCTTCCGCGCTGTGGCGAGGCCCCCCCCCCCCTGCCTCCCTGCCTCCCTGCCTCCCTGCCTCCCTGCTTTCTCTCCTTCTCTCGGCCATGTTTCCCCACTCCCCCACTGACCCCGGTGCCCTCCCTGTGCTGGCGGCCGCTTCGCCCTCTCCCCCCCTCTCCCCGTCCTGAAGGCCTCCGTCTGCATTAAGGGTCCCTCCGCTTACCAGCTGACCGCCGTCACCGTTGCCGAGGCCGCCATTGTCCTGGCCCTGGGCCTGGACTCGTCGGAGGGTGACAGCGACGACAATGACAACCCGGCCGTCCTGCCCAAGGCCCTGCCGGCCGGTGTGCTCACCGCCTCCACCGCCCTCGGACCCCACTACATCAGCCGCCTGCGCCGTGGCGGTGTGACTTTCAATGTCTGAGCAAGTGTGCCGGACGCCCCATTCTCCCACTCCTCCCCCGCCCCCGCCCCCTCTCCCCTTCTTCCCTCTGCTGTGCCTCTGCTGTGTGCACGGGCGCGCACACGATCACACATATATATATGTCGAGACAGAGTGAATATAGTCTCCACATCGCGACTTCCCGACTCTTGTGTGCGTGTTTTCCGCTGCGCGCGCGCGCGCATGAGGAGGCGGCCCAAGAGGCGAATGTGCCGCGGGCGCACTCGCGGGGGGAGGCGGGAGGGGGCGGGGGGGCGGCATGCGCAGAAGCGATCTGCTTGACCTGTGCTCCTTCTGTCCCCCCTGCGCATGGTCTTCTCTCATCGCGCCCCCCACTGTGCCACATAATCCCATGAATAATAATGTCACGCGAAATGCCCTCGCTCACGCGCGCGTGTGTGTATGTGTGTATGCGTATGTGCTAACACAGGCGGAGGGAGACAGGGGGGGTGGCGCATGTGAACACACATAGTGTGTGGCCGGCCGGTTGTGCGAAAGGGCAGCGGAAGAGAGGGCCATAGACCGGCGGGCACATATACACACACAGACACACTCACCTAGGTGTGACTCCCATTCGGCGGCGCCCCCTCCGATGACGCGAGAGCCCTCCGCACGCCGCCAGCACACACCCGCCTCTAAAGGACGACGCACCGCGATTCCCCCTGATCCTCATGTACCGCGTTTCTTGCCTCAGTGTGCGTGTGCGTGTGCGCGCGCGCCTGCCGGCCAGGCGCCTTGTGTCGCTGGTCCCCTGGGCCCCGGGAGAAAACACCGATAGGGGGAGGGGGTATCCGCGTGTGCATGTGTATTTGCATGCGACCGCAAGGGCCGCCGCAGGGGG